AAAAAAGGCAGCAGCAACGGCAGCCCATCATCAAATCCACGCAATCATGGTACGCTGCTCGTACCCCACAGCCCGCTCCTCCAACCCTGTCTCTCTCTCAAGCCTCTCAAGCCAAGCCAAACCAAGCCAAGCCACAACGCCAGCTAACACACACAGAACTCGCTCTTCAACTCCGCCCGCCGGCAATCCACAGCACTACGCAAAGAGCTCGACGGCTTGGCTCAAAGCAGCAGCAGCAGCAGTAGTAACAGCAGCAATGGCTCTCCCCTCCCACCCGCCCTTCTAGGCCAAACCAACGCGTCGCTGGCCTCGTTCGGCCGCACCATCGAGGACTACGCCCGCCTCGCTAGACACGAGCCTGGCGCCGCCGAGCAGGAAACTGCGTACGAGCGCATCGACGCCTTCACTCGCGAGCTTGCCGAGTACCGCGAGCGGTTCGCGAGGCTCAAGCAGGAGAGGGACGACGAGCGGGTATGCCTTTCCCCACCCCTCCCTGCCCCCAGCGCTGCAGCGAGCACTTGTGGCGAGCATTCGCTCGCGCAGGCACCTTCTATGCCTCAACCAAGCTAACGCCTGCATAGCAAGCAGTGCCAACGCATGCATGGCTCTTCGGCCGTCGGCACCATCACACTGACACGCCGGAAAATCCCTACGCCGCCACCAGCGCGGCGCAGTACTCACCCTGGTGGCCGTACTGCAGCGCAAACTCTTCAGCGCTCGATGCCGGGTCGGGCGACTACACGCGTGAGGAGCGGACATTCCGCCACCAGTCGTTCACGGCGAGCATAAACGTACAGCTGGACGAATTCCTGGGGCGCGGGAGCGCGGTGCTTCGCGACTTGGAGGACCAGCGCGAGATGCTCAATGGGACGCGGCGGAAGCTGTATAGCGTGGCGAATATGTTGGAAGTGTCGAACGATACGATTCGCATGGTGAAGAGGTGCGCGAAGCAGGACAAGTGGATGTTTTGGGGCGGTGTGACTGCGTTTTCTGTCTTTTGCTATTTGGTGCTGAAATGGTTGAGGTGAAGAGCAGAGAGGTAGCGTGTATTTTGCTTCTTCGCAGTTGCGGATCTACCTTTAGCGGGGCGTCAGGGTTGGTTTTGGCTTGAGGTGCGTAAGGTGCAGAGGCAAAGTGGATTGGCAGGAAGGGTGTTTTGCCCCTTCGCAGTTTTAAATCTGCTCTTAGCGCGGCGAACGCGGTTATATCTAAATGTAATAATTAGCATAGGGGCAGGCAAGAGTCGAATATAGAAAGAGCGAGAAACTTACAAGCTTGAGCGAATTGCGTTGCATAAGGCCAGTAAAGTTGAGCATAGCCCTACTCTTCTTGGGCATCCGCTGCAAGCGGCGGAACGCCTCGCGGACATGGCCAGGACCTACGGGCTCGCGAGCCTCCTCCGGTGGGTCGAAGAGGCCGGACTCACGCTTGCGCTTGCGGTTGCCGCCCGGGCCGCCCTGGCTATCCCCGCCGCCGCTGCCACCACCGCCGATCGACTTGCGGTAGGCATCCTCGACTTGCTTGACTTTGAGGGCTTCTTCGGTCAGCGTCTGCACGATCTCGAAGGTCAGGAAGCCGAGAATATCGATTATGTCGTCATTGGGCTTGCTGTCCGTGATGGTGCCGAAGCCGGCGAACTCGCGGAACCGCTTGCCTTTGCGGAAAGTGAAGGACGCTTGTCGGCAGTCGGACCAGTGCACGTACTCCTCCCGCGTCATGTTCTTGGTGCGCTCGTCGGCGTTGCGGAGACGCTGGATGGTCGCGTAGTTCATCTCTTCTTCTTCCTCATCTTCTTCATCGTCACGCGCGGGTACCGATTCGTTGAAGTAGGATTGCACGTCCCAGACTAGGTCGACAGCCTTTTTGGAGCCGGCTGGCTTGGCCGCCGCCGTCTTAGTGGCGGGATTGGGGGCTGTGGTCGCGATGTCGACGCCAATGTCTTCGGCTCCAATATCTTCAGCCCCAGCGTTCTTTTCCTCAGAGTCCTTTGCCGTCTTCCGGACATCTTTCCATTGCAAGAAGGTACGGAGACGGCTAATCTTTGCACGGTCGTGACGGATGAGCATCATAAGATCGTCAGTGGAAATACTGCGGCTACCGCGCCGGTTGGCGAGATTAGTGCATTCACGTAGCTGTTTGTTATAAGCTTGGTGAAAAATGACAAGCGAGGGTGAGTACATACCATTTCCTGTACTTGTTGTTGGACAATGAGTTCGATAAGAGAGGTTGTCTCAGCAGATGGTTCAGCCGTCTCACCAGAGACGAACATCATCTTTTGAATCAAGTCAGTAATGGATACATAGCGGTAGCCTTTGCCAGAAGCAGGATATTCCGGAAACGGCAGCATGACTTTGGTCATGTTGGGAACCGGTTGGAGAGACGAGAAGGAAGTTTATGCAGATAGTAAGAGAAATGAATGGGATGTCGTCTATAAAGAAAAGGAACGACGTAGCTTGTGAATACGAGTAAAATGATTACAGGTATACACTGGCTTTTTGTTGAAGGATAATTTGGTCACGGTGAAAGCGGAAAATAAACAGAGAAGGAACGATTTTCACACAAGAGGAGCAAGTGCTAAGATGCGACTCGGAATCTGGAACAACTGACCTGCTGGATTTCCGTACGATACTTGACCGACTTGTCCGTCATGTTGAAGGACGAGGGGACGCCTGTGGTATACGGAACAGGCAGTACTACAAGACAAGAATACGGGCGCTCCAGGCAAAGGAAGCGAGAGAGAGGGCGATGCAAGCTGGGCAGGTCAGTGAGCGTGAGGGATGGAGTTGAGGCACGGGAGGCACAACCGGGGAGCCAGGGCAGACGCAGCTAACCGCTTGCAGCAGTCGCCGGCGGCCTGACCGCCTTCAGCCCTACAGCACGATGCGCGCCCGCAGTGGGGATGCACGAACAAAATCGTCGGCACGCGCCCTCTCTCTCTACCTCTCTCTTCCGCACCAGCATTCGCGCATCCCTCTTCTTTCCACCATGCTCTACCTCGTTGGACTCGGCTTGGCCGACGAAAAGGACATCACCGTCAAGGGTCTTGAGATTGTCAAGAAGGCCGAGCGCGTCTACCTCGAGGCCTACACGGCCATCCTGCTGGTCGAGAAAGAGCAACTGGTGCGTTAGCTTCCCGTCCCCGCGCGCTGGTCGACACGGCGCCTGATGCGTGCTTTGCCGCGACAGTAGGAAGCCTACTATGGCCGGTCCGTCGAGATCGCCGACCGCGAAATGGTCGAGTCGTCCAGCGACACGATCCTGGCCGACGCCGACAAGGTCGACGTCGCCTTCCTCGTCGTCGGAGACCCGTTCGGGTACGTCATATGCCAGGGGGGCGGTGCGGCCTGCCGACTGACAATGCCATGCACAGTGCCACGACGCATACGGACCTGATCCTCCGCGCCCGTGAGCTGGGCATCCCTACCCAGGCCGTGCCCAATGCCAGTATCATGACCGGAATCGGCTGCACCGGCCTGCAGCTCTACAACTTCGGCCAGACCATCAGCATGGTCTTCTTCACCGACAACTGGCGCCCCTCGTCGTGGTACGAGAAGATTGTCGAGAACGCGAACATCGGCCTGCACACCCTCGTCCTGCTCGACATCAAGGTCAAGGAACCGAACCTCGAGATGCTGGCTCGGGGCAAGATCCGGTACGAGCCGCCGCGCTACATGACGGTCGCGCAGTGCGCGCAGCAGATGATTGAGATTGAGGAAGAGAAGGGCCTGGGTGTTTGCGCAAAGGATGCCCTCGCTGTGGGTGTCGCGCGCGTGGGTGCGCAGGACCAAAACATTGTTGCTGGCACGCTGGAGCAGTTGGCCGAGGCGGACCTGGGCCGTCCGCTCCACAGCCTGGTCCTGATTGGCAAGAACACGCACGATCTGGAGAGGGACTACCTCCGCGCGTTTGCCGTGGACCAGAAGGTGTTTGACGAGGCATGGGCAAAAAACCACGGTTCGCAATGATGACATGCTATTTAGAGCTCTGCGTAGAAAGTAAATAAATACATGTACCTGCATGTTTCTTGTTCATCAGTGACTTTCACTGTTTAAGTGTACAACAAAGAATCAGATGAACTGGGGAGAGGTCTAACTTAATGTCTAACATCCACAAACAGCATAATGATACAAGCAATGCTATCTATATACTATTGACATTAAGTGACTGCTTCAACAGCAAGCCTTCGGAGTCAATATCGCAAAGTCGCAGGCAGCCTACACCTTCAAGCTTATCCCTCAACAAAACTGTTCCAACTGGAAACGAAACGCGGCGTCTCTAGTGTTTGTTCTCTAGCGTTTGTAAACAGGCAATGGACAAAATAAATTAACAACCAGTACTTTCAAAAAATCAAAACTGCTCCTACCCGCAAGTAGTGTAACACGCAGGTGAGCCATAAAAAGCCAAGCTGTCTCTGGCTTTCCCCGGTTGAGTCCGTCTCAGGGCAAACCTGCTCCCGGCAGTCAACATCACAGTGAACAATGGAAGTGCTGATGTCACTGCAGTGTTCAGAGGCACAGAGGATTACACTGTGAAGAGAACAAGCCTTACGATTAACGCTCATTTGCTGATGAACATCCTTGACTATTAAAACTCACGCTTATTCACAGTAACTATTGGTGTTTATCAACCAATTGTGATGATGTCTATCATCAGCGTTATGGGTAGAAATGGACCAATCATAGCAATCCAATCGGCAGTGTCTGATGCTACTCCGAGTTAGGGTCGGAGTGCACAGTGAACGTCTGAATCCGAATGTAGTCGCTGTCAGCGTCACTGAGCTGTACCTTGGACAGCTGTGGGCTTTGCTGTGAACCAACACTCCAAGTGCGTGCTTGACCATGCTATCTTGCTAGATCGGCAATGTTGCCTGCGAGGTTGAATCTGTCGTTTGCGTCTGGCTCTTTGTAAATTCATTTCCTGTTAGCAGACGCCATAGAGGAAGTCATGCGCTGTTGTCTTTCACGAGTAAGCAACGACCATAGGTTAGTGGCGGATGTGGCTTTCCTTGACCTACTGTCGCAATGTGCAGTCTTTGTGAGTGGGCTCCTCAAATGAGGCTGTCCTTATGCACGCGATTATCTGCATGTAACTCACCGCCAAACAAGCGGCATGTCGGATTTAATACGATGGTGTGCATGCCACACTTATGCAAGCCCCAGAGACAGCATTTGTTGCCCTGCTCTACGCGTAGTTTATTCATACGTTTGTCCTTCGTATTCGCGGCATCGATATCGTATTGCAGATACTGCTTGTGATGTGGATGGCGGGACAGACGGTAAAGATAACTGCAGGGTAGGTTGCGGTCGCACTAACGTTCGTGGAGATTTCCGACTCGTCTATACTGCCTGGATGCTTTCGAATGGCGTTGAGAGATTCCTCTACTGCATTTGTCTTCTACCCAGGTGCTGGGTTGCTCCTTCGTTGGTCCGGGGCAGCCGGCATCCCAGGTTGCGGGACAAGGGCTGGGAATTGATCGCCGCGCGAGGTAGTACAACCACAAAAAACAGGCCACGAAGCCCCGGGTCTATGCACAATATCGATATCCTTGCTACTGTTACTCTGACGAAATATTAGAGCTAACAGTCGAATTGAGTTCTGTTACAGCCACCGTTCTAGAGTTTTGATGAATACGTTTGGACTTGAGTACGTTGGAAGTGTGTGACTGTACTGAAGTGTTTTGTTTTGCGAATCTTTTATTGCGGGACGAGTCCAGAACGAAAGTCCGTGAGGTTGAAACTGAACACCAGCTGCTTTGGCTCTTACCTTCTATTTGGTTGAATAAAAAACGGTAGTGGAGAGATCCCGAGCAACGTTCTCAGGAACTGTTTGATGCAAACAGTTTGCAAGTTAATATAGCAACATAATTTTGCTGGTGTATGGTCCTCTAATGCTGTTTGATTGCAAAAGGGTAGGTTTTCTGGAGACGAGCATGAATCTGACTGAAACAATACTGAGAGATGCACTGAGATCGAAAGACATAGAGTTCTTAGTGTTTCGAAGCAGTAGTAATTGTGTAGCGGAAATATCACAACTTGTTAGCTGTAGTATCCGTTATAAAGAGAAACGTTATGAACAGTCAAGGCTAAAAGAAAACCAGACTGTAATGATGCATCCGTAGCCTACCGTATTTACGAAGCCACCTAAACAACTCGAATTTAGCATATACCTTTCATAGGTGGCATTTTTCTCCAGGCCAAAGAGAAGACGCAGCGAGTATCTATGGCGGACGAAAAGCAGCGTTGTGCAATGGCGGAAATAAACTCAAACACTGGCACCGCCGAGACAGAAGGGCTGCAGAGAACCGAGACTCGTGGAGGAGCCTGAGAAGGTTGACACTAGGTTATCCATGTCGAGCCGGGAGTGTGGCGGCGCCGACGACGCCCGCAGCATGTAGGTTTCACTCCGCTTGGCTGCAGAGTGCGGATATTTGCCTTGGGCGCGTCGCCGATGGATGTGATTGGCAGGACGACACCGAGATAGTACCAGCAGAGAGAAGGCGGGAAGTGGTGAAAGAGGATGAGTCTGCCTTACGGGTGGCTTTGCGCCCACTAGGAACGCACGTATCGCAGAGAGGCCGGCTCCACATGTGATCGTCAGAGCTCCGTATCGAGGGGAGAGAGAGCGGGAGCATCGATGATGAGGACACGAGATAGGTGGTCGACGAGCGGACGCAGGCAGCAGCCGCAGTGGGTGCGTGACACGGCGAAGCATTCGCGCAAAAAACGTGCCAGGACCCTGGTCGGTGACAGGGCGGGCGGTGGAGCTCTTAGCTCGGGCCGGGGGCTGATACCGTCCTACGAGAGCTCCCCCGTCGTCACCTGCTGCCGCTACCTTCGTCAACCAACTCCACGAGGACCGCCCTGGTCACGATGTGATGTCTACCCACGTCTGAACGCACCTGATAGTGCTGCTGCCGCCTGCACACTGACCTGCAAGCTAATCTGGTGCAACCCGCCGCCAGGCAGATACCAAGCAGCCAGAGCCTCGCCATTCGTCCTTTCGCCATGACTTCGCTCTACGACCTCAGGCAAAAGCCTGTCCCCTCTGTCACCAAGGGGAAGGCCTCCAGCAGGGTGTCCCTCGAGATGCCAGAGAGCCTACGGAACGGCCACGACCTGGATACCGACGTCACCGCGCCCAAGACCAACGATCCACGGTACCAGCATCGTTCTTTTTTTGACTTGATTACGAACGCAGGCTCCCTCATCGATTTAAATACCAGACACACACACGACGAGCTCAGCGACGGTGAAGACGAGCTCGAGACCAAGACCGCTGGCCCCTCGTCCGACGGTTCGCGCACGTCGGGGGAGAACGCCAGGCACCGCCGCGGCCTTTCCGACAACAAGATCTTACGTTCCATACTAAAGCCGCGTCCCGCGTCTGTCAAGGAACGCCGCGATGCTCCCACCGACATGATGTCTTCGTCGCAAATATTACCCGGAAAGCCTGCCGACGAAGCGCAAACTGAGCCAGTGCACGCATCTACCCCGGACATAAGGCGCCTGTACAGAGATCACGCGGCGATGGAGGCATCTGCTTTGGGATCGGATTTGCGCAACGCCCAGAACACGTTCGGCGCTGATACTTCGTCGGTCCCGAACAAGACAGGTGCGCTTGCTCAAAGGATTAAGGAAGTCTTCCAGCTGGAAGAAGAGGAGGAGGTTCTTGCTGGTATGTTTGTACCAGTTTTACTTTGACACCGGCTAACAGTTTCAGACTGGCCATGCTGGCTTCTCCAAAGCGTAATGCTACAAGGGACTTTGTACGTCACCGAAAAGCATATTTGCTTCTATGCTTATCTACCGAAGAAGAGTGTATGTTCTTGTAGCCATGTTTCCTAGTAGCACCTAACTAACACAAATTAGCACGAAGCTGTCAAGTCTAGTCACCTGTTCAAGCACGGTACTTCGAAATGGAACCGTCGCTGGTTCGTTCTCAAGGGGGACGTGCTAGCATACTACAATGATCGGAACGACGTCTACTTCCCCCGTGGAAGGATTAACCTCCTTTACGGTATATCTGCAGAACTGACAGAGCCCAAAGACAACTCCAAGGAAGCGCTTGAATTCACTGTCAAAACCAAGGACAACACCTACCATCTTCGTGCCGACAGTGCGACCGCTGCAAAAGAATGGGTCAAACAACTCCAGAAAGCGATCTTCAAGGCCCATAATGACGGCAACAGTGTGAAGATCTCGCTGGCGGTTGATAACGTCTTAGACATTGAAGACAGCCCCATTCTTGGCCACACGGAAACAATCAAGTTCCGTGTGATGGACAACGACGATTCATACGCCGTAGATGACTACTTCTTCTCATTTTTCGGATATGGTCTGGAAGCCATGAGTGTCTTGCAAGGAATGGTCGAGGAGAGTAAACATCGGAGAGCATCCGAAGCACAAAAACTCGACGATCTCGTGGGCGTCAAGCAGCCGTTTCTTCCTACAGATGTCAATGGCGGTTCGTCACGATCAAGTTTTGATAAATATCAACAGAACTCCGGTTTCGACGGAACTTCCCACCCGCCAATCTTCGAACGAGGAAGACTCAGGCCCGGAGGGATTCAGGATAGCGACGAAGGCGAAGATGTAAGGTTGCATTCACCGCGCCGGCCTCGCGATTCCTATGGGTCGGCGGCATTCTCGTTGGAGCACGATACGGAGTCTTCCGCAGCTGTACAATCCATCAACGACACCGAGGCATCTGCCAGTCAAATACTCAATAAGAGTGATGTTTTCTACCGTCCTTCGACTGGACCGGCCAACTTCAATAGCTCGAGCTCATCTGTTGACCGCCCCGGTAGAGATTCACAGGATACGGCTAGATCTGCGGATATGGCCAACCCTAATATTTCGCATGAATCTAAAAGCGGACAGACATCCAGGGCCAGAGGCTTCAGAACTCCGATGCAAGAGTCGAAAGGCCTCGGAGATGACAGCGAGTTGCAGCACGACAAAATGCAGGCTTCTTCATCCAGTTTTGGACTGAAGGGACTTGTCAACGCTGGGACTTATCCAATCCAGAAAGCTTCTGGCCTCGCTGGTTTCTTGCAGAACAGATCAAAACAGATGAACAGCTTGATAACGTCGAAATCAATGAGCTACTATGAGAAAGTTTCGGGCATGTGGGCGGGAGGAAAGAAGCATTACACGGCAGACCCGGGTTTACCGCCTGACAGTCAACAGCATGATACAGTCGATGACGAACAGGCAGCAATCGACGACGGGAATTTCCGGGAGCATTTTTCTCTCCCAACATCGGAGAAGCTTCAGGCCTGTTTCTTCGGAAGCATATACAAGGTTCTTCCCTTGTATGGTAAAATTTATCTTAGCAACAGGTTTTTCTGCTTCCGGAGCTTGCTTATAGGCACCCGTACAAAGGTACGCTCCACCTTTCGATACATTTGAAGAGTTGCAGCCACTAACCTTTGATTCGACAGCTCGTTCTTCCGCTCATTGACATCGAGAACGTAGAAAAGGAAAAAGGGTTTCGTCTTGGCTACGCTGGCCTCGTCATAGCGATCCGCGGACACGAAGAGTTGTTTTTTGAGTTTTCTGACATCGATGTCCGCGATGATTGCACAGTCACCATCCACCAAAGTCTTGACAACGTCCGATACTTACAGCCTGATCCCCTCAGTCAAGAAAGTATCCTTGGAGCCGAAGCTGCGAAGGCAGAGCATGAGTTGTTGCAGCAAGCGCACCCTAGCGATGCCGCCAAATACGAGCTCAAGCCATCCAAGAACATTGAAGAGCTCGGTATGCCATACATAATTGCCCTGCCTCTCAGTAAAACTGCTGACCATGAAGGGCCCTCGGTCAATTTCGACGATCCAAATGCTTCCATTCTCGAATTCGCGCCTGCAAAGCCACTCCATATTACTTGCATGGCAGTCGGTTCTCGCGGTGACGTACAGCCATACATTGCGCTTTGCGTACGTTTGATGCAAGACGGTCACAAGACGAGGATTGTGACACATGAGGAGTTTGGAGATTGGGTGATAAAGAATGGCATCGAGTTTGCGGCGATTGGTGGAAACCCGGCGGACCTCATGAACCTTTGTGTGGAACACGGAATGTTCACACCGTCGTTTATGGCTGAATCACTTAGGTCGTTCATGCCTTGGCTCACGGAACTTCTCCGAGGAGCATGGAGCGCTTGCCAGGGAACGGATGTCCTTATCGAGAGTCCCAGCACCATGGCCGGTATACACATCGCCGAGGCACTCCAGATCCCCTACTTCCGCGCTTTCACAATGCCGTGGACCCGGACGCGCGCATACCCGCATTCGTTTGCCGTGCCGAAGCAGAAAATGGGCGGTACTTACAACTTCCTGTCATATGTTCTTTTCGAAGAAGCATGGTGGATGGCAATAAGCATACCGATCAACCGATGGAGAAAGCAGGCGCTGGGTCTGCGTGGCACTAAACTGAAGAAAATGCAGATCAACAAAATCCCGTTCATGTATAACTTCAGTCCGTCGGTCGTCCCACCTCCTCTTGACTACAGCGATTGGACCCATGTCACCGGATACTGGTTCTTGGACGAGGGCGACAATTATAAACCTCCGGAAGACCTTGCCAACTTCATCGCCAGAGCCCGCGAAGATGGCAAGAAGCTAGTCTACATAGGCTTCGGGTCCATTCCGATTCAGGAAGATCCCAAACTCGTGTTACAAACGATCGTTGAGGCCGTAGAGAAGGCTGATGTTCGCTGTATCTTCTCAAAAGGATGGCTTGAGCGGGGTATGAGGGACAAGATCAAGAGGGGTGAAGTTGTTCAAGACGTGCCTTTACCTCCGGAGATTTACCAGATTCAACACTGCCCACATGACTGGCTCTTCAAACAGGTTGATGCTGTTGCCCATCATGGAGGCTCTGGTACTACTGGTGCTAGTCTCCGTGCTGGTGTGCCAACCATCATCAAGCCTTTCTTCGGTGACCAGTTCTTCTTCGCCCAACGGGTTAAGGACCTCGGTGTAGGGGTCCATTTGGCCAAGCTAAACACGACTTCTCTGGGACGAGCGCTGTGGCAAGCATCGTGTGACGAACGTATGCAGGCAAAAGCCAAGGAGCTTGGAGAAAAGATTCGCTCTGTAAGTTCAAATGCCTTCTTCTACGGTGAATGACCAAACATGCCTAACAATAACACAGGAAAATGGAGTTGAAAACGCCGTAAAAGCCCTCTATCGCGACATGGACTACGCTAGGTCGCTGATTAAGGTCCGCGGCGCCAATGCACAAGGCGACATGACCGACGAAGACGACGAGCCTGATGAAGAGTGGACTTTCATCGAGGGCGAAGATAACCCTGAGCTTACGCGCCGCTTGGCCGAGATGGGTGCTTCGGCGGCCAATTCTCGCGCGCAGTGGCGGGAGCTCCAGAAATTACAACAGCAGGACCTTCGTCGTGAGGAGGAGAGGATGCTGAACAGTGCACTGCTACAGTCTGAAAGTGCCACTCGCAGCCCTTCGACCAGTTCTTGAGGCTATTTGTCGGGACTGTCAGCTTCCTCGTCATTGACTAATGCAGACATGGTGACTTCGAGTTCAGTGTGCTTTCATAGCATTCCCAACCAGCTTCCATGGAGTAGAAACGCAGCATTCCTCTGCTTTGCTAAGCGATGTGACTAGCTCTGGTCGATGACAAGCCGTTGCCAGTGCCGGGTAAATTCGCTTCTTCTCTCCACAACTACGTTTTCTTGCGTTTATGGATATGAAACGCAACCGTATCCTCTTCTCTTGTTTCTGATTGCGGATAACAGATCCGCTCGTTCTTCGTGGCCTTTTAGCGTGGCGCTAGCGGCGTTCGTTATGCACACTCTACCTAGGCAAGGGCTGCAAAGGAGTTGATGTGCCAGCATGCACCGTTGAGAGATTTTTCCTTTTTTTTTTTTTTTTTTTTTTTTTTTTCGAGCTTCTATCTACTTCTTCAGTCTGCTTGTGCGTCCCCTCTGATGATTTTCGGCTTCTGGTTTCTAGTTTCCGTGTGTGCGCGTGTCCTGGCTCCATGTTTTTCTTTCGCTTCAATCAGGCATAGAGAATGGAATGAATACATGGGCGTGAGGCGCATGCGCGGCTGCTTTCATGCGACGGGATTTGCCTACAGACAGTGATGGGATAATAGGTTTATCGACACTTGAGGGCGAGAATGGATATGCGGTTATGGTTTGGATTGGCGCGGGACTTTTTTTTCCTTCTTTTTCTTTCTTTGAGATTTCTTAGGGAAAGCCGCTGGGTGTAGTCAGACCTTTTCCGCTACCTACCGAGTAGATAATGCAAGGACTACTACAGTGGATCCTCATTTAAACATTGACTGTTTATAATGTTTTTCTCTCTATTTATATTGGTAAATGTATGCAAACAGCCTTGCGAACTATAGCTAGATATAGTTGAAGGTTGCTGACTAGCTCAAACTATATAGCCAATCTTGATTGTATACCAAAGAAGAAAAAAGAAAAATAAAAAAAAAGATATTGGTGGCTATCACGCAGTGCGGGAATGATGGACGACCCCCGCGATGACGTTGGGAGCACAAAAGTCGGGCCGACGTCGCTCCCAAACCACGACCCGCGGGCGGAAACTTTGCGCTGAGTCAAGAGAAATAATTCTAGATGCGCATATGCCCAGCTTCCCCAATGTCTACCGCGCCACGCTCTCCCACCGCCTCGCACGCAATATCCGCAGTCTGGCAAGCATGGCCCGCGCCAGTCCCGCGGCCACGGTGCCCCAAAAACGCGGCTTGACGGCCGACGACGACATGACCACCACTACCACCACAACGACCACAACGACCATGCCCGAGACCAAGATCCTGCCCATTGACGCGACGAAGCTAGGCAAAATCACCGTGTCCCGGCCAGAGGGCGCAGACGCGCTGCTTGAAGAGTGGGACATCGAGTGGGCGGCCTCCGGGCCCGACGTCGCGCACCTGCGGCAAGCGGCGCAAGAGCTGCGGGAAGGGAAACTGCCCGTCGCCTTCCCGACCGAGACGGTGTACGGGCTGGGCGCGGACGCGACGTCGTCGGCCGCCGTGCGCGGCATCTACGCCGCCAAGCAGCGCCCGGCTGATAACCCGCTCATTGTGCATTTTGCGTCGCTGGGGCAGCTGCGTGAGCTGCTGCGTAATGGTGGTGATGGCTCTTCTTCCTTACAGGGCGGAGACCATGCCGACGGCAAGGGCAATGCTACAGTAGTGGACGACGCTCCAGACCCCATCCCCAAGATCTACCACCCACTGATCCGGCGGTTCTGGCCGGGGCCCCTCACGCTCATCATGCCGCTGCCCTCGCCCTCGCCCCTCGCGCCCGAAGTCACAGCCAACCTAACAACATTCGGGGCGCGGATGCCGCGCTCCGCCATCGCGCTGCTGCTGATCGCGCTCGCCGAACGGCCCATCGCCGCGCCCTCTGCCAACGCGAGCACCAAGCCCTCGCCCACGGCCGCCGAGCACGTCTACTTCGACCTGCAGGGGCGCATCGCGACGGTGCTGGATGGCGGGCCGTGCGACGTCGGCGTTGAGAGCACGGTCGTGGACGGGCTGGGCCAGACGCCTGTCGTGCTGCGGCCGGGGGGCGTGAGTATGGATGAGTTGCGGGCTTGTGAGGGGTGGGAGGACGTGAGGGTCGCGTATAAGGATAAGGCGGAGATGGTGAAGGGGGAAGGCGATGGTGAGGGTGAGGGCGACGCGCCCCGTGCCCCTGGCATGAAGTACAGGCATTACTCGCCGCGGGCGACGGTGGTGTTGTTTGAGGCCGGGGCCGGCATGCCTGGGAAGGCGGATCTGGAGGGCAGGAAGAGCGTCGGGCTTATTAGGACCAAGAGCTGGCCTGAAGGCTGCGGCGTTGTGCCGAAGCGGGCAGAGAACAGGGACACAGCAGCAGCAAAGGAAGAAGACGAAGCACCACAACCAGCGCACCCAAAGACACCTACACCAACACCAGCAACAGCACCCCCCAGCTTCTCCAACCTCACAGAAGCAATAACGCTGCGCCCCGTGCCGCAGCCGCGCCTCCTCAGCAACAGCGCAAACGAAACCGAAACCGACGCCGCAGGCCCAGCGGAGGTCTGGGAAGTCAATCTCGGCACCGACACCAAAGCCATAGCGCGAGGCCTATTTTCGGCGCTGCGCGAGCTAGACCGCAAAGACGTCGAGGCGATTTTCGTGGAAGGCATCGATGAGCGCGAGGGCGATGTCGCGGCCGCGGTCATGAATCGGCTGCGCAAGGCGGCTGAGAAGGTGGAGCCTGTGACGAGGGGTGGGGGTTGAGTAGTTGATTTGTGTGATTGGTTTTTTGTTTTTTTGTGAGGTTGGGTGCTTGGGGGTGGGTCTGTTTGATTGATTGTTTGAGTGATTGATTGATTGATTGCTTGCCTGGCCATCGGCGACTGCATGGGCGCTGTGCTGTACTCTACCTACCTAGGTGTTCTGGGAAGCTACATGGCTGCTTGGCTAACTGTATTTATGTATCATCTAGCCAGGAAAAAGGAAAGAGTAGAAAACTCGTATCTGTGTACGGTCCATCCGTGTTCAGCCAAACATTTCCATGAGCGATCGCTGCTTCCCTTTCGTTTGCTTCTTCGACTCTGCTTCTTTAGGTTTCTTCGCGCTCGTCTGCTTCTGAGAAGCCTCGCCTTTCCTCTTGGTAGCAACCGCGCCTCCCTTCAGCATCTCCTTGCTCGAGTAAAGACTTGCGGGTAGGTTGTACGCGTTCCCCGACGACAGGTCCAGATACGTGTACGCATCCGTCTTGTACCAGATGCCGCGGGGGTCATCTTTCGCCACCAAGCCCAAATTGACCAGCGACAAGAGCACGCGCCTCACGTCGACATCGGACCAGTCCTTCGTGTACACGCAAATGAGGCGGTGCGTCTCGGCCTTGCCCGCCCACGTCGTGCCCGTCTTGGCAGTGTGGCCCAGCCGGTTCGCGAGCACGGCCTCGCAGACTTGCGCCCACACACTGAGCAAGTCCTCCTCGCGGGGAAAGAGCATCCACTTGCCGCAGACGACGTGTTTCGCGCGCGCCAGGTCCGCGATTCGCTGTTTTAGCTTCTCCCGCTCCGGGCCCAGCTTGCGCGTGATGGTGCCTTTGGCGGAGCTCGGGTTGGCGCTCTCTAGCTCTGCGCGCTTGCTTTGGTACGCTTCTAGCAGCCCGTACCCCCGTTCAATGAAGGTGTCCACATCCGCTGGCTGCTGGTTGTAGCTCGAGGCGTGCGGGTTGCCGACCCAGAACCAGTCGATGCCTGTGTCTTCGCAGATGGTCTTTAGTGGTGGACAGCGCTTGAGGAACTCGGAGACGGTCTCTGTTGGCTGGTACCATCTTGGGTCACCTTCATGTGTGAGGTTGAGTTTGACTGTGGCCTTTTCGGCGTTTCTGCTTGCTTCAGCGGATCCGCGCGCACTGTTGGACGTTATCATTCCCATGGCATTGGCATCGTCTGCCGCGAGGCGCTGTGCTTCGGCACGTGTTCTGTGTGCCATTGTCGCGGGATAGGTTTCATGGTGTTCCCAGTACGAGGCAGGGTCAAAGGCCTTGGTGCGAGCTTCCCAGGCCGCCTTGGTTGTCTCATCTCCTACGTGGCACTGTCAACTGCTGTGTGATAGGCAAACGAAAGATGATGTAAAGAAAATAAAATAGATACCGTAGAAACTGGACTCGTCTGAGATGCAGCCATCACCCGAAACCAGCTCCTCGGTCATGGTGGGCAGGCGGACTTGCTACATTCCTGGATTTGAGTTGGTAGAAGAAGCAGCAACGGAAGTGGCTACCTCACCCATGGACGATACATGGTCTGGGGTAGTTTAGCCGAGCTAATCCCGGGCTGCGCGACGCGATGCTGCGCGCGGAAGGCACGCCAGCACATGGGTTTTTATCTTTTCCAAGGTTTGCCGCACTCGGTAGGTAGGCAGGGGCCTATACTTTGTACCGGACTACCTTATAAACGCCACCAAGATCCATATGATTAAGAAATAGGTAGGAAGGGCGGGCGCCACGTCTGTCATTGTGTGGCGGGGGGGCCAGGGTTTGGCGGGTGCAGTGCAACAGAAGCGCGGCAGGGAATGGCGGTGGGAGCCCGAATGGGGCAGGCGGGATCATCATCAGCCTTGCACATCATTAGGTGTGGGTGTGATTTTCGCATTCGCTTTCCACCGCGTCGGAAAGCGAAAGCGAGGCGGAGAAGCGGGCCCGGCGCGGGACATAAATTGGAGAGAGTGGCTGTCGTGGTTGAGCGCGCGCGAACATCCCTTACAGCCTTAGCCCATGCCGAGCTCCGGGCCTAGCTGTGTATATGTATATACATAAAGATGGAGGCGACTGCGAGACGTAAGGCTCTCTCTTTCTAACACTCTCTCCAAAAAAAGCTTCATCACAAAAAAA